ATGGCAGAAGTGGAAGCAAACACATCCCTCACGTGGCAGCAGCAAACAGAAGTGCAGCGTGAAATGGGGCAAAAAGCCCCTTATAAAACCATCCAATCTCGTGAGCCCTCACTGACTATCGTGAGGACAGCATGGAGGTAAACGCCCCATGATTCAATTACTTCCCACTGGGTCCCTCCCACAAGACCTGGGGATTATGGGAACTACAGTTCAAGATGAGGTTTGGGTGAGGACACAGCCAAACCGTTATCAGTCTTCTAAGGGCCACTTAAGAAGCCTGATTTAGGAACCGGCATTGAAGTTCTGAAGACTTAAATCACTGAGGCTATGTGAAGAGCTGGCTTAATCTGACCACCAGACCTAAGAAGTGCCCCAAACCTAACACATTTGCCTTGGTCTGGCCCGTGCTGACTCAGGCCTGGCTCTCACCTTTAGGAGCCTCTTTGTCCCCATTCTCCTTCTTGGCTTCCAGACTCATGTTTTCAGGTGTTTTCAGCTGCATGTGTTCCCCCTGCCCCACCCTAAGGAGATAAAGTGCCTGGAAGGATGGTCAGGACTCAGGAAACCACAACCAGCTCCTCAGCCTCTGGCGTCACACAGGGTGGTCATCTGGGGTCACCTGCTGGGCACAGTCAGGGTGCAGGAGGGAGCTGAAGGTCCCACCCTGCTTGGAGGGGAGCGAGGAAGAGGCAGGTGTATGGTGAGCTCATGGGCGTGGTGGCTCACACCTGTAATCCCAGCATTTTGGGAGGCTGATGGGGGAGGATTGCTTGACCTCAGGAATTTGAGACCAGGCTGGGTAGCATGGTGAAACCCGGTTTCTACCAAAAATACAAAAATTAGCCAGGCAGGGTGGCACATGCCTGTGGTCCCAGCTACTCAGGAGGCTGAGGTGGGAGGATTTCTTGAGCCCAGGAGAGAGAGGTTGCAGTGAGCTGTGATGGCACCACTGCACTCCAGCCTGAGTGACAGGTCAAGACTCCGTCTCTAAATAAATTACTAAATAATAAATGGAGGAATGTGGCTGTGACGGTGGAATGGTTGAATTTAGGACTGTCCAGAGATTCTAAAAAATACCAGGGAGCTGTCTAGCTGTAACCTCCACGTCTCTGAGCCTCCGCAAAACGGTCCCCAGTATCTCTTTGTAGGAATATTTCTCCAGGGACTAATGACACGAGGTGGGAAAGCCGGGGCTCCCTCCCACAGGGGTCCTCCCTTGCGGGGGTCTGGGGCCTCCGCAGCGCCCGCGAGCCTACAGGCCGCCAGAGGGCGCTGTAACCCAGCCCGAATCGCTGGCTCGCCGCACCGTCCCTCCCTGCCCATCAATCCTCCGCCTGTGGTCCGCGCGCAGCCTGGGACTAGGATAGCAAAGCAGGAGCTCGGGCCTACCCGGCCCACGGCTGGGTCATACTAGCGGGTAAATTCGACTTCCAGTGTGTGGTCTGTTCCGAGCAGCATTCTCTGGCTCTGGACAGAATGCAGGACTACTGGGCAAAATGCAGATTCCCGGCCGGGCGCAGTGGCTCAAGCCTGTAATCCCAGCACTTTGGGAGGCCGAGGCGGGTGGATCGCGAGGTCAAGAGATCGAGACCATCCTGGTCAACATGGTGAAACCCCGTCTCTACTAAAAATACAAAAAATTAGCTGGGCCTGGTGGCACGTGCCTGTAATCCCAGCTACTCAGGAGGCTGAGGCAGGAGAATTGCCTGAACCCGGGAGGCGGAGGTTGCGGTGAGCCGAGATCGCGCCATTGCACTCCAGCCTGGGTAACA